TTCTGATGGGACTTTTGTGCATCCTCAAGCAGAGAAGATCTACAACGAGGTAGAGGCTCGGATCGAAGAGGTCCAGACTCAGATGTCGCAACAAAATCCGGATGCTCCACCGGTCCAACTTACAACCATCGACCAAGACAAGATTTTCGAGCAGGTAAATTATTTTAATTTTTAACTTTATTAACATTTTTAATTTTTTTATTAAATTTTCACATTTTTACTTAAAATTTGATCTTTAATTTGTAGGTTGCTCCGAAGAAAAGGGGACGTATTGTTGGGATCGGGACGGTGAACGATGTCTCGAGGACGAGGGCCGAACATGCAGCAAGAATAGAAGAAGATTCTTCTCTCCGACGGGAACTAGCAGCTGCCAACAAAGTCACAAAGTCATAGACGAGCATAAAGACAAGTTCAAGGCTATGGCGAATATGTTCGATCTTATGATGGAGACCTCGAACCCAAACCCGACGGTTGCCAATGCATGGCAAGCTCTACGTCCGAGCTTTAGCCCCGACCCCACTCCGGAAGAGCAAGTGGATATGGATCGACGTGCGGAGCAGCACTCTTCTGAGTTCTTCCAAAACATGAACCTCAACAAAACACCTTAGTTTTTCGGTTTTTTGTATGAATACTTTATATATTATTTTAATCAAATATAATTTTATATATATATTTTTAAAATTTATTATTTTTTAAAAAAAAAAATCGAATTAAAAACCAAAAATTAAAAAAAAAAATCAAATTAAAAATCGTTTTATTTAAAAATAAAATCTAAATTGGTCGTAAATTAGTCTTTGATTTACGACTAATCGACAACAACTGTCGAAGTTACTTAGTTGTAATATTACGACTAAGTAACTACTAATATTTACGACTCATGAACTACTACACGCATTACGACTACTTAACTACTAACTTTATTACGACTAATAAACTACTAAAAGAGTTACGACTACGTATCACGACATCATTAAATTACATTGAGACATCAAAATAAAAAAATGATGTAATTTAATTATAGACCAGAATTGTCACCATCTTACCAAATTTGGTGTTTTGTAAATTAGTATGTATCACTCAAAAAAATAAAATAATATATTTCACTATTTTCATTTAATTATAGACCAGAATTAAATGAAAATAACTTCATTGAGACATCAAAATAAAAAAAATAAACAAATTAACAACTTCATTGAGACATCAAAATAAAAAAAAATGAGACATCAAAAAAAAAATGATGTAATTTAATTATAGACCAGAATTGTCACCATCTTACCAAATTTGGTGTTTTGTAAATTACTATGTATCACACCAAAAAAAATAAAATAATATATTTCACTATTTTCATTTCATTAGACATAAATTAAAATTATTAATTAGTTTTAAGATATAGTTAAAATAAATAAATCATAATGTTTGTATTCTCCATTTTAATTTCCTATTACTAAATATTAAAATATTATTTTCTTTATATTTTAAATTGATGATATAACTAAATAAGCATTATCAATTATATTAGATTGTAACAAAATAAATTAATTTCATTTTAAATGTATAAATTTTTAATTCACCTAATATTTTACATAAAATAATATTTTTTTTTAAAAATAGTAAAACGATAAAATGATCAAATTTTAACAAATAAATATAAATATAACTGTGATCATTGTAATTAGTCAATTACAAATAACAGAAGTATTAACTTATTAAAACTAACAATTTAATAATATTTAATATTATTTTGGTGTGAGATTTAGTGTGATTATTGGAGATGGAAAAAAACTTTACACCAAAATATCCAATTTGGTATTATTTCAGAACCATGTTATGGTTGGAGTTGCTCCTTAGTATCCAGTTATATATGCCGATTCATAAGAATTTAAAAAAATAAACAAAGAAGAGTTATCCACAAAAGAGCTCTATCTAGAAATATGATAGAAAATCAAATACCCCATAAGAGCTTTATTATGTACAAAAAGTCAAGAACTATAAAGAGAAGAAGAATTTAGATTTGTGATTTCGATTGATATTTCTTATGGAAAGACAAGGCTCAGTACATATAATATATTCCAGGATGCAAATCCTGGCTCTCAGTGGAACATCATGAAAAGGGTCATAAAACATAACGTATATATATCTAACTTTCAAAAAGTCATGAAAAGAAAACACAAGTTGATAGAGTCGAGGTATGAAATAAATAAATAAAAAGAAACTACTGTATAATGAATTTGACCAAGACTGATTTACTTTCGATGAGAATCTATGACAAGACCTTTCATCATCATCCATAGTTAACGTTGCTTCTTCATCTCATCAAAATGGTGGAGAACGCCATTGGTCTCCGTGGCGTCAGTTCCAAGACAGAAAAGACGCAGTTGAGACGTCGCCAACGAACGGATATTCCATCTCCTGCGGCGGCGAGAAGTACTGAACTCTTTGTGTGTTCTGATGAGCCCACGAAGGTGACGACGAAGCATAGTGATGATGATGAGTGTAATAGTTTCCACCTCCGTTGTACGGCTCTGCCGGAACTTCTGTCATCGATGAACCAACACCGGACGTTATTGAGTTTCTGGCAGCTGCACGCCTCTCTTCTTTCTTGAATCTGATCCCACACGCATTGCATAACGACTGCGCCAAGTTAAATCATTTGTTACATCCAAAATATTACTAAAAATTCATATATGTTGATTTTGTTTATATAGTATATACAACTAGATATAAATATGTGTACTAAGTCGAGATTAAAATAATAAATGCCAACTTCATATTTTATGATTTTTAAACAAATTATCTAAGCTAAAAACTGAACTGATCAGTCTAGGTGTTTTAAATTTTTATTTTTAATAACCGATTTATAAAAAGAGTTTAGAATACATCCAAATAAGATATACGACAAATATTGATGGACAAAATGATACTTTTGCTTTTGATATTAAATTACCTTAGGTCCTTTTGGTCCGTTTCTCCATAGAGGAGTAGAAGTTGTGTCGCAGCTAGCACAACGGCGAGGTATGTTATGATCACTGCCGCCCTTCTTGTACGATGTCGTTTTTGCGCTTCCTCCGTGAAAGTAGAAGTCGCCGGAGATGTTGTTAGAATTGGCAGAACAAAATCTACTGTGTTCGTCGAGACGAGTAGATGGTGTTGCAAGGGAGAGAGTGCAATCAACAGAAGTTGATGAAGAGAGGTCATCATAATCATAATGAGGGTGGTCTTGGTCGTAAAACATGGAGAAATTAGGGTTTGTTTGGTATCCCATCATGAATTGAAAGCTTACAGTGAGAGAGAGATTAGAGATGTATATGTTTTGGTTGCTTTGTGAGTAGGTTATATGGTACAAATTAAGACATGGCTACATATTTATACAGACCCTTTGTTTAACTTCACGACAAAAGGAATTGGTATGATCGAATCAATTGTAGTGAAGATTACATTACTTTTTCTACTTTATCTAAAGAAAGCAACAATTCTACAATGAATATTCTCAAGGCCTTTAGTTAACTCAATATTTTCTTAATCGAGATTTTCCTTTTTGGGTACGGAATACATATCGTAACTATTCTTAAACACTTGGTCTCAATCATCAATAATAATATAGATGTTTTAAGAAGTGGGGCACCACTTATTTCATTTCCTATATTCAAATATACTAGATGCATGTTTAACATTCACATTTCTGTGGTGAAAACATGTCAATCTCGTGTTGGGAGGTGCCTTTTTTATATTGCATTCTTGAATCAATATCAATGCAATTCAAATGGTTTTTACACTCGTTTCAGTTTTATCGGGTATTTAAGGAAAGTATATAGAGTACATGAATGAGTTCTTTTACATGTTTGTTTCAAGTAATAAAAGCGACGAATTTTTACTATACAAGTTTAACATTCTTAAAGCAATAATACAGCAGACTTTGTTTTGCATTGTCAAGTTAAAGATATACAAAAATTATTTAATAGGCAGTATGTGTAATCATGAGAAGTGCAATATCTGGAGTTTTAGTGTCGGAAGGGTTGGTCAAAAGAGGCCCACGTGAATGACAATATCACGGTCTTCTAAGGATTTGGTCTCTCTCCGATTACGAAGCCCCCTTTCACTCATTGCGCTTTTAAGTTCTCCAACCCAATCCGAGCTGTCCCCGGACGTCCAAATTAATGAAATGTAACTAATTAAAGCATGATTAACCCTGAATTCTTAAAGTGAAGTTCTTAGCGGAAACTAAGAAACTGTTTCTTAACTTTTAATTAAGAAAACATAGAACTGATTCTTAAATAATGATTTTAAGAACTCGAAGTTAATCACGGTCTTAGTACTCGATCGTCGTATCTTACAATTGATGAGAAAGAAAAAAGTAAAAACAATTGAAGTAATAACCAAATTTTTTTAGAAGATATTACTAATTTCAAACTACAAAATAATGATTAAATACCCTATTATTTTTAATCAAATTACATTTCGGGTATACAATGCAATTAGACAAAATTATACATTCTTTTGTTTAACTATAATTATACTATTAACTATCAAACTTTTAGAAAACAGGGAAATGTCAAATTATTTGGTGTATCAAATATTTGTTTATTTGGTGTATTATTATTTTTAATATCCAAGGCTCACAATATATATATATATATATATATATATATATATATATATATATATATATAATTAAATAAAGATTTCAAAAGAAAAGAAAATGATGTATATATTAAAGAAGGCTCAGTATTTGGCTCTTTGGTAAGAATTAAGGAAAACTAGTACTGTTTAAACTAGGAATGAAAAACAAAAAGAGTAAAGGTAAAGAGAATTCCGAAGTGAGATTCTTGGCAATGATCAAAAGCAACATCTTGTGTTTCTTTCTTTGGCTTGGGGAACGAGAGATTCAATTGATCAGTCAAAGAAGCAAACTCCAACTCAAAGTATTTTCTTAAAGCAATAATCAGAAAAAGTACATAACGAATAAACTCAACTGGATACATCAAACACTCAACTGCTACTTCTTTTTCTTTTTTTCTTTTGTTCCCTATTTTGGGTTATATACTTAGTTCGTTCCTCTCCTAAAGTAGATGATGGTTTTGCCAAGACAAGAATAATAGTAGTAAATATCAACAGGAAGCCTAGAAAAATCTTTAACAGAAAGCAAAATGAATTGTTTCTACTGAAATATGTATATGTGCGTATAAATGATAACTCTGTAATCTATCTTATAGCAAAAAAAATGTCGTTGTTAACATACATTATTGTCTACGATCGTATCTATCTTTACTAGAAATCATATTGGTCTGCATATATAATCTATTTCCCATATCTTAAGGTCTCTTGTCTTCTATGTATTTCATCTAAAAACTTCTTACATGCATCCGATTGTTATTACTCTTGGAGAACTTTGTAGACAACTAGACATTATTTTTAGTACTATATTTTCAAATGTAATTAAAAGTGAATCTGATATTGGTATGCTTGTTTGGCACTTCAACAATGAGAAAGTATTTATCTTTTTGTAAAAAATTTAACCCCATATTTTGTCGATTGAATAATCGAGACTAACTAATTAATGATTTTAAAATAAAATAAAAATTAAGAATATGTTTTCAAAGAAATAAGAACAAAATTTTGATCCATTATACGTTTGAGTATCCTTTGATCCAGAGTATGTTCGTCCATTCTTCTTTTCTTGTGGTGTACCCAAGAATATGGATTGACATACTATATACTTAATTCTGAAATAATATGATCAAAGAAAGATTCAAATATGTAAGATTCAACTGAGCCAAAGAGGCAGGCTTTAAGCAAGCAGAGAGAACAAATTCAGAGTTGCTATAGGTGAGCTAGTCTGTTAAGTTATAAGAAGACTGCGCTGTTGCAAGACAAGACATGTATTTCTCTTATAGTATTTCGAATGGTTAACATCATTTTTTTCTCTCATAATAAAGTAAAATAAAATAAGTTTGTGTTTTATTCCAATAGTTAATTAAATTTTCTTCCTAAATAATATTTTAAGTATATTTATTATTAATTCTAATAATGTTTGTTATCTTAAGAATATATAATTAGAAAATTGTCAAGGAGAAAAAATGTGTTATAATTTAATAGTTATATAACTATATTATATGTTTAATAGTTATATAACTATATTACATGTTTCTTCACTAGACAAAACTAATATTTCACCTGGCTAGTGGCTTTAAAAAATACTATAAATTGTATACAAAAATTATATGAAATATAACTGTGTAAAAAGACTATTTATACATACCCTTTTTGGATAAAATGTACATATCCTTGCTAATATATATAACTAAATAAATGTACCGTGCACAACAAACATAGAACTTATCAAGTTTTAAACTGCGTAGCCGTCAAAGGAAGACTAATTAACCGCGCTCAACGCTCTCTCTTATTATGTGAATAAATCAGTGTGTTTGATGCAGTTTCATACATACTCGTGATCTAGGCTTCAATGGTTTGAAACTTAGAATGTATGTATACCTACATCAGTTCTGAATTCAATTTCATTTGGAACTAAATTATTACTATTTGGCTAATATATATTGATTTAGGCTTTGGTCTATGTGATTTATAATAGATTATTGGTTAACTCTTTAATATTAATCGGATATTCTAAATTCATGTCAGACAGTATGATATGCTTTCGGACTAGTCTACTCAACCGATTTCATTTTCGTTCTCAAAAACTGGAATTAGATGTTTGATGCTCAACTTTATTGTATAAGTAATCACTGGTTTACAACGCCAACGTTGGTATCTTTCGACCCGTACTGTATTATAGGGTCCTTGTCCAACACTCAAACAAGAGGAGAATGACAGCAAAATAACCAACCACAAAGAACAAAAGAAAAAAGAAAAAAAACATCTCTCAAAAGGATCAAGATCTGGTTGGGTGGTTATCTTTAACTTTATTTTTCTTCTTTGTTTGTTATTATTAATTACGTTTTTATCATGTAATTTGACCAATTGTCTTTCTAGATAACGTACTGTCCACTGTCGACAGATAAAAGATAACGTACTGTCCACTTATACTCTCATGTGCATATTCTTATCACTTAAGTAACCTTTTGAGGTATCCAACCCCTAATATCTGCCAAGACATGGAGTAATCAGTAATGGACGTATCCACTACTAACCCAGTAGAATAAGGGGCTCGTACTAACTAGCATTAGTGGGCCTAACTTTTACAAGTGTAGGCCAATACAATTTTATTATTTCTAGTTTGTTGAAAAATTACATAATTCGTGTGCATATTTAGATTATTTTAATTGACAAAGTGTAATAATCTCAAATTTATATTTCACTTGCATAATTTTTTTGTGTGTAGATGTCTGATAAGCTATACATTCTCGTTTCTTTCTGTTTGATTTTGTTTTAACCAAAAAATCAACGAACAAAAAAATTAAGAAAAAAACTAACTAATAAATTACACGAGAATGAAATTGTTTGATCTAAATAATTTATTATTCTTAGCCAATTACCACACAGTTAAATTATCACATAATACAATAAAAATCTCATTTAATCAACACGTGACAATTTATTTTCGGTAATGTTTGATGAATGGAAATTAGATCAACGTATATTAAAATAAAATAAAAATTCATGTATTTATTTTTAATTTTGTATTAGTTGATATATCTATTACTATAAAGAAAAGTTGCTTCCCTCCTGTGCTGCCAGCTAGGAAAATACTTCACAAAAACGCCACGTGTCATGCATTAATTCGCCATCTCTGCCACGTCAGATAATAGGGTAAGGAGAAGGGGACACTTGTCCAATCCAATAAAACGAGGCGTTCTGTCCAATAGGGAAAGCTGGGTGTGGTTATGGGCAATATTTGTTTTTGGGCCCACGGTTTTTTTTCCTGGGCCGTCGTCTGTGTATTGTCGTTTCCACTTCTTCTTCCCCCGCAATCTAGGGTTCTTCGACCTTCCTCTCCTCTCCGTCAATGGATTTTCTTAAGAGTCATTTGAGACGATTTATCATTACTATTCGAGGATGGAAGTAATTAAGTGTCGTTTCATCTCATCTTCTTCTCCATGGCGACGTTACGACCAAAATTGATACACTGCCATAAAAGAGGTTCTTAACTCATTCATCCAACTTCGACCACAATATCGCATTCATTGCATCTCCCCTCTTCCAGGCGGTGCATCTAGAGAATAAAAAGGTACGAGTAAATAACATCCTCACAACACATAATATCAATTGACACTATAGAATGATTAACGCATCTCTCTTCCTTGGTGATTTGCAAGCTGGTGGGTGTTCTTCCTCCGTCGAGGTTCTACTTCTGAGGTTT